ATTTTGGCCAGTGAACATAGCCAGTTATGTGGTTTGTTTAGATTCTATACCATTCATACAATGCAGTAACTCCAATTTTTCTTCCACCTTTCTTGAAAAAGGGGAATAATGCATTCTGAGAGTCAGGAATGTGGAGCCAGCAATTAGATTGGTGTCCCTTCAGTCCGTTGTGTAATGGCGATCCCCAGATTAATGCAGTGCCCTTTGTAAAACCAATAGACTTTGATACCCGTTTGTCTGAAATGTTTCTTTAAGGATGACGTAGGTCAGCCTTCTCCAATCTGATGCTTCCCAGATGATTTGAATTTATGATGAGCTGTACAGGTAATCCTCGACTTACGACATTTCTGTTGCTAGGCCAGGCAGATTTATGTGAGTTTTTTGTTCCCTTTTATGACCTCTCTTGCCTGTCAGCGTTCCAGCAAACCTCCATTCCAACCAATAACTCCGAGACAGATTATCTCTCAAAGATTCCTTTATTTGGATAGTAACTGGCAAATCTGTGGAATCCCGAAACTGAAAGTTTCGGGCTTCCTTGCAAAAGTCAAAACTTCAAATCCACCCCCCACTTAGCCATCATCACATCACATGGTCCAATCACCATCCATCCTAAAGTAAGATTCCCATTTCATTATTTGCAACACTCCATGACCTTGAACCAGCAAAATAATTTTATCTATCTAGATATACTCCAGTGAATTCCCCCCTCTCACTTTCTCGGATTCAGTTGTGGCAGCATCGAATCTCAATATGGCTTCCAAAGCTGACATTGCCACAGTGGTTAAGCCAATCAATACAGTTGTTAACGGTTGTTAAGTGAATCTGACCACTCCATTGGCTTTGCTTGTCAGAAAGTCATATGATAACATGATCCCCAGTCTCTGCAACACTCTTAAATACTTGCCAATTGTTAAGTGTCCGAATTTCGATCCTATGACCATGGGGATGCTGTAATGGCCATAAGTGGGAAAAACAATCATAAGTCACTTTTTTTCACTGTCATAACTTCAAACTGTCATGAAGTCGAGGACTACCTGTATATATTCAGCTGGATGTAAATTTCTAATTTGTGCTTAAAAGTGATTGAGGCCAAATTAATTAAATTAAAAACATGCAAGTACGGTTTGATTTGAAACTGGAGTTTTGTAAAAAAATAAATAAAAGGAGTTCATATTCTTTGTTCTTATGAAATGAAAACATACTGAAACTGTTTGACTGGCCAACGTTAGAATGCTTTGGCTATAAACTAGCTTCCTGCAACATTTGTGCCTATAATGAAGCTTTGTTTTTAAGCGAATCTTTGGGAAAGACATCATATGAGATAAAAAGGGGCAGGATTTTAAGAGTCATGTGCATAATCCCAAATGCTTTTAAAAAAATCTTTGGTACTGATTCAAGCAGCATTCAAAACTACTTTTGCAACAGAAATGCTAAAAGCAGCTTGAATTATGACCTGTTGGTGGAGCAATTGCTATTCCAAAAAGTCAGCAAAACATGTGATGCCTTACAGCAATTTCTTAAATCCAAGAAAATCAAGGCGGGGCAATTTTAAATTTCTTTCCCATTGTTTCTTATTTTCCTACGCTAAACTCTACTAACAGCTACCCCATACTTTCCCAACGTAATCTCTGTGCTCTTCTACACTTTGTGATGATGTTCCATAGATAGTGATGTTTAGTTTCTGGGTGACAAATGATGAACCTAGTTTTCATCAGCTGTCACAATGCTGTGAAGAAGTCCCTTCTCCTGGTGCAACAACCAACTTTCAAGTTTTGAAGATTCCATTTCTGCCATCATTCTGCAAGAAACCCATCATCCTCAAACCTCCTGATGCAGGAGAACATCCCCTAAGGTGTCCCGGTATCCATGATCCTGTGGAGCACCAAGGTTGACAGCCACTTTACTTTGATCCGCTGATTGTTCTTAATCGGTTCATAAACCTTTCTAACTCTTACTCTTGCTGTCACGAATTGTGCACTTCAGTCTTGCTCAGACAGATCAACTCTTCCCAATTCATCATCTTTGCATTTACAACTTCACAGTTTTTGTTGGCTTGCTTGGCGGTGAATTTTAGTTGTGAGACTCCGTTGGCAATCAAACATTCATTCAATCAGTACCTTGGCTAAAGAGCACTGATGAATTCCCATTGCCATTTTCCATTTCACAAACAATAGCAAGAGAGTTTTTTTCCCTCTCTCCGTAATTTTCTACCAATTGAAGTGGAAAAAACAGATGGTAAACAATATGTTTCTAATATGTAGGCAGTAACGTATACTGCTGAAGGCATTACTTTTCATTCAAGACTTGTAATTTAAGTAAGAACCCACCCTCCGTAACATGCATTGCAGCTGTGTTTGGGAATATGATTGTTGTGTGTTACAAGAGTGACACTTAGCTAAAAGAATAGACATTTTAACACAGAGGTACATTAAATTGCCTTGGGAAACTTAAATAATCAAATTTGTGCTTGATATTGACAGAAACAATAAGCATTGGAAGCCTGGGCATGTGTATATAAAAACCTATTATAGCTGTCTTAGTCCATGAGGACAAAAGTCCATAATCCACAAATAATGAAGAGGACCATTTAAAACAGTGGCAGCTTGAAGATGGTGGACTTTTAACTCCTAAAATTCTGGGAGTTGAAGTCCACCCATTTTCAAGCTCCCAAGGTCGAGAAACACTGACCTAAAACCCCCGCCAGTCATCTGGAAATCTTTTGTCCAGCAATATTACAGAAGCAAATACAAGGAAGAAGCAATGTTTGTATATTCTAGTGTAGTAAGGATTATTTTATATTATTTCCATGTGATCAACCATTCAACTCAATGGTCGGTATTAGCCCTGCATTAGGAATTTACCTGGTCAGAGCTTTGCTGATGTCAAGAAAGCCAACATAATCCTTGTTGGTTTTCTAAAGCTCCTAATGACTAAAATACATTTATCTATCACATTTTGGGTGAGTGTTGGAAATTATTTACCTAGCCTAAGTCTGGTAATATCAAGTAATGTTTATAACAACATGATTAAAGTAATGTTCTAGAACAGGGGTCTCCAACCTTGGCAACTTTAAGCCTGGCTGGGGAATTCTGGGAGTTGAGTCCGCCAGGCTTAAAGTTGCCAAGGTTGGAGACCCCTGTTCTAGAAGGACAGCTGAATACTTTTTAGCAATGACTTCCATTTTAAGAATATGCGGCTTTTAGCTAGGAAAAAGTGGTTTGCATAGTACTCTTTTTTATGAGACAGTTTTATTTTTACGCGATAAGAACATTGTATTTTCGGTGTCAGTTACCTGTGCGTTTCATGGAAAAAGGTGCTCAGTGTATTGGAACGGCTATGGTCAGGTTTTATTTTGTAGTTAATTGTGAAGATGTAAGAACCCAATACAACATCCAGATTGTTACAGTTGTGGCTTGTGGTATTTAGCTAAGCCTTGTCTTTACAGCCATGCTAATATCCATAGATGAAAACTAAGAAGCTGGAGTGAAACCTATTCCTTCCTCTTAACAGCTGTGATTGATTTTAGAAAAATCGATCCTTTTTCTGGAATAATTTAATTCAGATGGCTTTCTGAGCCCCAGAAATAAATAGGAAGAAAAGGAATAATGTTCTTTTTTTTATAAAAAACCACTATTTGCAATATTTCTAGTAAACTAATGTTTACAGAATCTCTATGTTTGGTTTCTCTTGACCAGACAACTATTTCTGTTCTTAATCTTCCAGGCCCTAGGCGCAAGATAGGAGTGGGCAGTTTTGCCAGCAAATCATTCATTTTTCTTAAGCTCCTGTCCCTTCTAAAAGTTTTCTTTCCAAATTGAGGACCATTTGCATATGTTGAGAACAGTTGCACAATATTCAGCCCGCATGATCAAGGACCGCAAGGTAGAGAAAGTTGGTGTTGCTAACTTGAATGAATTTGGTGGTGTTTTAATTTGGGATAAAATCAGACAAAAGCTTCTAAGAGGGCAAAATGGCTATGGAGATTCTCAATCATCCAGGTCATGGTTATTCCAAAGGTGCTTTTCAAAAGACAACTGGACTTTCTTGGTTTTTTTTTTCCTCTTGAAAACATTTCGCTTTTCGTCCAAGAAGCTTCCTCAGTTCTGTCACTTCAATCCTTTCTATCAGTTCAATCAATTCAGTTCAGTTCTTCTGTTCCCTACCATTCAATCAGAACTGCAGAAACTTTTTGGAAGAGAAGTGAAATGTTTTCAAGGAAAAAAACCAAGGAAGTCCAGTTGCCTACTGAAAATCATCTTTGGGATGTCTAAGAGGGCATAGTAAGTCCTAGCTTATTTCTAGCTACCAAGAAGTCTTCTGTAGTGGCATGCAAGAACCCTAAGTAAAAGTACTGCAAACAGCCT